TCTTTTTTTTTTTTTTTTTTTTTTTTTTTTTTTACAGTCCTTTGTGTTTATGTTTGTCACTATTTGGTGAAAATGTTCCTGTTGTAGCAAAAGGTGATTTTGGCCGCATGTTTCTCCCAGACATAATGAGTGCTCCAAAGCCGTGCTGATGGGAGAAGGCATAGCCGGAGCGGCGGGTGCTGGTCCGACGCAGGCGTCTCTTGGGTGAGGGTGGAGGTGGCCTCTTTTTGGCTTCTTTGATCTTGAGCAGCACCTGAAATCAGAAAATAAGATGGGAAAAGTGGGAAGTGCATCATTATTCACAAGCACGGTAAACGAGAAGCAAAGAAAGGGAAACAAGCAGGGGTCCAAAGCTAAAAATGATTGACAAAACAGGATGGCAGGAGGAGTTGCAGAGCAAGAACTGAACAGGCAGCACAGGGTGGCAGCCTGGTAAAAGGAAAAGCAAATCTTACTCTAAAAGGCATTAATGGGAGTGTCATCTGTGAGACATGGGAGGGGATCATTTCAGTGTATCGTTCCTCACAGTTTTGCGATGCCTCAGTCGGGGTATTGCTGCAGCTCTTTTAGGCACTTCAGTCAAATAACCCAAAATGTGGAAACCGTCTCAACAATAGTCAAAAGTCCAGAAAACAAACATTTAAAAATTGGCTTACTTAATCTAGAAAACAGACTACTGAAGGGGATCTCCGATACGTAAAAGCTTTTTATGATGAGAATGGTGATCAAGAAATTCTCATATTCCTTGGCAGAAGGGAAAGAAATAATGCACTTTATTTGCAGGTAGTGGGCTCTCTGCTCCCACGTGGCCACCGAGATCATCTGCGGCAGGCATCTTTTCGGAAAGGGGCTGTCAAAGGCAGGAGGCCAGTACTGAGTGCCAGTGGCTCAGCAGAATCCCCAGCCATCGGACCCCTGTCATTCCTGCTTGGGACAGCAACAGATGTAGGTACTTGGCCTCTTCAAGCATCAGGCCTGTAAGTTCCTCTCATGCTGCTGGTTGGGGATCTCTGTACAGCAGGAAACCCAAAGACTCCTTTCCTGTGACAATTTGCTTCCCAGAGGTAGAAAAGTAAAGTGCTTTTGCACTAGAGATGCTCAACCCAAGCACTGAGGCTGGGATTCAGGACCACAGCTGCGTTGGACTTCTATTCAACTGAAGGGTAAACTCAGCCCATTTTTACACACCTGAACTGCCCCTGTGTCCTGAGGACTTCCCTACCTAGCAGTCTTCTCTAGCATCCACCAACCCCCTCTGCAAGGGCTGAGAATTCCCCCTCACTCATTCTCCAACAGTCCTGGAGCACCTGGGGAGCTTCACAGACATCCCAAGGATGATCAGGGCAGTCACTGAGGAGCAGTGGGGTGCATGCCCTTGGGACTGTGCTCAGAGACACTCGTGTCTTGCAGCTCAGTGCAGGAAGAGGAAGGCAGCACCAGGTGGCAGCAGCATTTAGCAGATGCTCTCGTTCGAAAGCCAGCCCGGGTAGCTGTGTTTATGCCGGTATTCTTGAGGGGCCCGTTGGCTGTAGTGAGCTGCGTGCTCTCTGCCCACTCCATCTCTCCCAGCCTCTCCTTGCCCTAGTGGCCTTATCTTCATATTCTTGGGGAAGGGAGGGCAGCTGGTTTCAGAGGGGGGTTATAACCATTGGCTACAAATGAAGTAAATTCTGAAGTACAAAAAAATCCCCAGCAAACACATACGCCTGGGTGGAGGGTGAAGGGCTGCGGTCTGCCAGGCTAAAAACTCTACGGCAGCAGGGCAGGAGGAACACGCCACTCCCTTGCCACTGAGCCACAGCACTTAAACCCTGCACCTAAAAATAGTGCGGCTTCCTCGCTCCAGTGCAATCTGATCCACATCTAAATAATCTCAGTCTTGGTCCCAGCTGCAGATGGTTTGAACTGTGCCAAAACCCGAATTCAGTCCTCCTTCTCAAGGGACTAGGGGACAGACGGATGGCAGCACTTCCACCTACAGGGACATACACTCTGAGCAATGCCAAGCCCATGCAATATGGCTCCACGGTAAGCTTAGGTGGTAATAAGCATCATTTCTGGTTTAATAAGGTATCTCCTTACTTTATCACTGGGAGTTGGCTTTAACTGAGCCTTCAGGAATCGAAAGCCAACTACAGGCAGCACACAGAGGGTGATGCTGAGGAAGATTGCTAGCCACACGTTTGGTTGGCTGAGGGTGTTTCGAGCCGTACCTGAAAAACAAAAGCATGATTAAAACCATAACAGCAGCACCTCTCACCGTCATTCACCTGAACCTTTCACTTTCTGTGGTTCCAAAGCACTTGGCAAACAGACCAGAATATAAAGCAGACACCATGTCCAACAGTGAGACCAACTTGCTGCAGAGAGGACAGCAATACCAGTATCGCTGAGACGAGCAAAGAAAAATGCAACGGCCGGACACAACTGCAGCAACAACTCAGGGAGACAAGGATGTCAGAGTGAATGCCACATCTCTTTACAAAGAGTCAAATCACTGCAAAGGATTGATATAAATGTTCAGGAGACCTTCTTCGGCAGCAGTCCAGCCCTCTCACCTTTTGCCAGGACTCTAGTGCAAAAGGAGCAATACTATTTTCTTACTTTCCAGCACCAGTTCCTGAAGCATATGGAGTACTGACTCTGACTGCCCAGCGGATGATAGGATCACAGCCCTTTACGAGACGAGCATGTGTCGCTCTGGGCGTCTGCACAGACAGCGTAGCCTAATGGGTGTATTGGCAGAGCAACTGCCATGTGGTGGCGTGACACTGCCACCTTCTTTGAAACCAAAGTGCTCACTTCTGGCTTCTCCAAAACTGAAGGAAAGTAAGATAGAACAAACAGTCTGCAAAACCCTCATTACAGGGCTTAATGATGCTGTTGTTGGCAGTAAAGTTGCTGAATGTTTTCTTTTCAGTTGGCCAAATTCTGCTGTAATACAACTCCACTGAAATTAAAGTAAAGAAGTTATCTGAGTCCGGACTAGAAACACTTTCCTTAAAAATGGTTTCAGACTGAGACCTTATTAAGCGGCCCTCAGCATTATGGCTACGTTGACCTACGTAGTACCAACAGAGCAGCAGATAGAGATGTCCCTGGCAAGTGAGTTACCACCTGTCTTTAGAAACTGAACAGACACTCTGTCTTCTCTCACTCAGCGTTTTTGATACTAAAAGCCATCTTACAGTGGATGTGACCATCTGCTTGGAAGATACGTTGCAACAACTGACCTGCATCTCAGATAATTCTAAAATGGCCAAGCACCTTGGTATTGCAGTGAAGATGGGCAGAACAAGTTTGACTTAACAATTCATCCAGAAGTAAAGGCATTGATTAATACACCATTCTGAGACTTGAAACAAAAAGTGTTGGGATTTCAGAAGTAGAGTCTCGTAACAATGCTGTACCAATACTATTACTTTGCTAAGATTTCATCTTCCTCCTGATCAAAGTCTCAGGAGACAGACTCATTTTTATGTTATCCTTCACTTTTTGCATGTGTTCAGAAATCTGTTATGTAGAGTAACTCCAAATACCTGGTCATCTCTGGATTTT